AGGTTGGTTGCAATTTTTTTAATGGAAAATTGGATTTTCGACTAAATAAATGTTTGTTGCAGAAAGCATCTGCTTTCCTCAAATATTCCTGGTTGTTTTGGGAGTTTTTTGGGCATTCTCCTCAACCTCGAGCTTGTGTAGCTGCTCCAAGAGCAGGACAGAGGGCAACGCTGAGTAGGCAGAGCGTACACAAATAAATACTAATAATGACAGTAATACAAGTAGCAGGGAGCAGTGTGTTTGAAGCAGCCAGTGCTGAGTTTTATCCCTAACTAATGAGATTTAGCTAAACAATCTGCCTTTATGCCACCCACCCCCTGGAGCTTCCCTTAAAGCCTGGTGTGATCTGAAATGAAAATAAGCAACAATTAATGCCTACCACCGGGAGAGTTCCACACACAAAGTTGCCCAGCCTTCAGGGGACTTGGCCATCTGTCTGGCAGCCAGATGCCAGCAATCAAGCAGTGGGAAAACAGAGGATGAGACACCCCAGGAGAGCGCCAAACTCACACAGGGAAGGCAGAACAACAGCCTGGGTGTGCCTGAGAAATAACCACCCAGATGACCCAGGAGGCTGCAATAGGCCATTGTGGGAGGGGGTTGTTGCACGGGGAAAGGTAACATGGGTTGCGGGGGAGGGGCTGGAAGAACTGGTTGGCTGAGGAGGACAATAGCCCTGTTCAAGCTGGCTTTCCCATGCCCAGCCTGTGTGCCCCCTATCACGGAGTCACTGGCGCGATGCCTTGGACTCCCCCTCTTCCAGTTCCCAAATCTACAGCGATCCGACCTCCCACACCCCCATGGCTCCTCCTTATCTTTGTCTCGGTTTCTGAGCAAAGAGTCACCTGGTCATTACCTGGTTGCATCTCCCTCCTGGGTCTCAGATTATGAAGGGTCCTGCCATAGCATACATGCTGGCAGCTGGAGCAGCTGCACTTACCCCTATGCCCACCACCGAGGCATTGGTGCAGCACACAGGGAAACTGAGGCACACACAGTATTCACGCAAAACAGTAAAATTCACATAGGCTCAAGTCATAAATATAAAGGGAAGGGTAACCACCTGTCTGTATACAGTGCTATAAAATCCCTCCTGGCAAGAGGCAAAACCCTTTCACCTGTAAAGGGTTAAGAAGCTAAGATAACCTCGCTGGCACCTGACCCAAAATGACCAATGAGAGGACAAGATACATTCAAATCTGGAGTGGGGGTGGAACAAAGGGTTCGTCTGTCTGTGTGATGCTTTTGCCAGGAACAGATCAGAAATGCAGCCTTACAAATCCTGTAAAGTTAGTAAGTAATCTAGCTAGCAATGCATTAGATTTCCTTTTGTTTAATGACTGGTAAAATAAGCTGTGCTGGATGGAATGTATATTCCTGTTTTTGTGTCTTTTTGTAACTTAAGGTTTTGCCTACAGGGATTCTCTATGTTTTAAACCTGATTACCCTGTAAGGAATTTACCATCCTGATTTTACAGAGGTGATTCTTTTACCTTTTCTTTAATTAAAATCTTCCTTTAAGAACCTGATTGCTTTTTCATTGTTCTTAAGATCCAAGGGTTTGGGTCTGTGTTCACCTGTACCAATTGGTGAGGATTCTTATCAAGCCCTCCCCAGGAAAGGGGGTGTAGGACTTTGGGGGGATATTTTGGGGGAAGACGTCTCCAAGTGGTCTCTTTCCCTGTTCTTTGTTTAAAACACTTGGTGGTGGCAGCATACTGTTCAAGGCCAAGGCAAAGTTTGTACCTTGGGAAGTTTTAACCTAAGCTGGTAAAAATAAGCTTAGGGGGTCTTTCATGCTGTTCCCCACATCTGTACCCTAAAGTTCAGAGTGGGGAAGGAACCTTAACAGCTCACATACAACATAACAAGGGAAAATCCCCATTTCGTCACATCTCTCCCCCCTTTGAGACCGAACTGAGTGGGGTCACTTTAGCCAGTGACCTGGGGAAGTTCGGGCCCCCCTTTCTGGGACAAAGCATCAGCTATAACATTTGCACTCTCCTTAACATGGACCACCTCCATGTCATACCCTGGGAGAGGCAGACTTCACCTCAGGAGCTTGGCATCATCCTTGCATCTGGTGCAGCCATGGCAGGGTGATTGGTCAGTGTATACAGTGAAGCACTGTCCAAACGGATCTGGCTGCAGCATTTTAAAAGCCCACCCCAGGGTGAGGCATTCCTTCTCTATGGCCACATAGCTCTGCTTCTGGCTTCTGGGGCAGCAATTTCCTCCTCAGGTACATGATAGGGTGTTTCTCCCCCCTTGCATCGGCACCATGTCCAGCCCTGTGTCTGAGACATCAGTGAACACCATAAAGGGCTTGTCAAAGTCTGGGTTTCCCAGCACTGGGCCCTTGACCAGATCCTCTTTCAGTGTGTAGAGAGCCCTCTGGCACTGCATGGTCCAGACAGCTTGTCTGGCTTCCCCTTCTTGCATAACTCTGTGATGGGAGCTGACCCAGAGCTAAAGTAGGGCACAAACCTCCAGTAGTGCCCTGCCATCTCAATAAAGGCCCAGGCCTGTTTCTTAGTCTGGGGAGCGGGCCAATCTCTGATCACCTCTATCTTGGCCAGCTCTGACTTTAGGCAGCCACTCCCCACCTTGTGGCGCAGGTACAACATGTCTGCCACCCCCATCTTGCACTTCCCAGCTGTTACAGTCAGCCCTGCATCCTGGAGGTGACCCATCCCCTTCTTCACCTGGGATACATGGTCCTCATAGGTCTGGCTAACGACACAAATATCATCAATGTATGTAAAATTCTCCATCCCCTTCAGTAACTGATCCACCTGGCTCTGGCAGGTGACTGGTACCTTCTTGAGACAGAAAGGTAGGACCAGGGATTTATACAGCCCCAAAGGGGTGATAAAAGCAGGTTTCAAACTGGCATCTGGATCCAAAGGCACCTGACAGTAGCCTTTGGTGAGATCCCTGTTCGTGGGGTACCGAGTCCCCTGCAACTTGTCAGGATCTTGTCAGGCCTAGGCATAGGGCAGGCACCAGACACTGAGCTTCTGATAGGCCACACAGAATCGGATCGACCCATCTTTCCTGGGTACCAGCACCATGGGAGAGGCCCCTGGGCCAGGGCCGGATTAAACTTTTGTGGGCCCGGTGCCAAACATATCTGTGGGCCCCCATGGAGGCAATGGAGCATGGCACAGAGAGGTCAGTCCCCAGAGTGAGGGGCCAGCCAGAAGCAATGGGGCATAGCATGGCAGGGGAAGCCCCGCTCCACCCAATGCGAGGGCACTATTTACAAACTGGCAGTTGCCAGATGCACAGTGGCCTGCCCGGCTCTGTGCTGCCAGCATACCCCTTCCCCTTGGGGGCAGGCCCATGCCACACCACACAGCCTCCCCCACCCCAAACCCGCCGACTCTCTATGGCCAGAGGCCCCCTGGACCCACTATGCCCAGTGCCCTCCTGAGACCCACCCACAAATGTACAGCACTCTGCATAACACCACCCCTGCCCACAGCCCCACCACAACTTCCCAGCATTCCCCACAGAACTCCCACTCCCTAGTGCCTCAACACCCATAGATCCTCCCCACCCCTTCACAGCCCAGCACCCCCCCCCATACTCCCTACAGACCCACTCCTTCAAGCCCTGCCTCCCGGCCACACTCACCAGGCCTGCTGGGAGGCAGGTCCCTCGGGCTCTGGGCCCTCGGGAGTGGTGCGATCAGCCAGGCCAGGACCTGGCCCAGCCGGGGTCCCTCAAGACACACTTGCCTGGAGGGACCCAGCCAAGCCCTCCACACTGTTCCCCCTACCCCTCCCCCGAACCTGGCTGAGACTGACCAGGCTTCTGCACTAGTCCCAGGTGGCTCAGTTTTGGGGAGAAAGGTGGGGCCCCACAGGTGGTGGGAAGCAGAGACTGCCCAGAGCCAGAAGTGCACTGGGGTCTGGCCGGGGGGCTGAGAGGAGCAGTGGGTGTGACCAGGGGGTGAAGAGGAGCCCTTGGCTAACCAGCGGGCAGGCCGAGAGGAGCAAGTGGTGGGCGGAGGGAGCCAATGGAGTCTCAGGGCGCAGTGCAAGTGGAGCAGGCGAGGGCCCCTTTTGAGCATGGGCCCGGCTCCATGGAGACACTGGAGCCATTGTAAACCTGGCACTGTAAACCAGGGCTGGATCACCCCTAAAGCTAGCATGTCTCTGACCTATCCCTTCAGGGTCTGACCTGTGTTTCCAGTTACTCTGAAAGGGGGAATACCTGATGGGAGGGCTGGCTCCCATCTCCCCCAGTGGACAGCTCATTTAGTGAGCCCAGACCAGTTGGAAAACAGCTGTTGGTACGAATGCAGCGCCTCTCTCATCTCTGCCTGCTGGGCAGGGGTTAGCTGGTCAGAGAGGGGAACTGATTCCAGCAAGGGGCCGGCTCCTGTCTCAGAGAGACCCACCAGAGGATCTTTCCCCTTCTCTCAGTGGCCACACATGGCCAGTACCAGCCTCTCCCTGTCACAGTACAGCTCCATCATGTTGACATGGTACACCCGGTGGCTGTGAGCTCAGTTGGGCAGTTCCACCACATAGTTCTCCTCATTCAGCTGCTTGATGATCTTGAAGGGCCCATCCCAGGCAGCTTGCAGCTTATTCTCTCTCACCTCTTCCTTCCTGGCCCTTCTTTATTCATTCGCTCCTTCATTTTTTCCCCCATCTCTCCCTTTCTCCCCCCGGCCTCTGTCTCCACATCCCTGTTTGCATCCACTCTGGCTCACTGCTCCCTCCTCTCTCTGCCTCCCCCACCCCAGCCTGTCTGCATGCCACCCCCCACCCGACTTGTGTGTCTGTCTCCCTCTCTGTGTCCTTAGGATCCTGTGAGTGGCATTGATCCCCACCGTTTGCTTCCTCTGTTTTCCCTCTCTGCTCAGTGGGGTCTGCAGCCAGCTCCACTGTTGCTCAGAGATGTGGAGGCAGTTGCTAAGAAACAGTGCCACGTCAGTACCTGACCCTTGTGGGGGGTGGGGGGGGTGGGGGGAAGATTGAGAGAGAAAGGAGGAGGAGGAGGTGGGGAAAGACCTGGATGAATTAACAGACTCAGCAGCAGCTGCTGCTGCAATTCAAGGAGAGACACTGTCATTCCCTCCACTTGTCTCACACCCACTCCTCTGAAGAGAGGGACAGATAGATGCACGGACGTACAGGGAGAAGGGCGAGGGGGAGCTGTCAGGGGTGCTGCCCAAGGAGCCAGAAGCCACTGAGGAGAGAAGGATGCCTGCCGGGCGGAAGAACATGAGGATGCCCAGGAAGAGGGGAGATACTTGTCTGCATCGCAGCTGCTTTGCGGATCTCTTTGGGCTGGAGTGAGTATCTGGCTTGTGCTAACTGGGCAGAGTATGGGAGGGGAGGTAGAGGAGATGGAGAGGGGGCTGGGAGTGAGTGTGCAGGCTGGGTGTGTCCTAAAGGGCAGCGGCTGGCCGGGTGTGCGTGTTTGTCCTGAGGGTTTGTGCCTTGAGGACAGGGTGGGGACAGTCCAGCAGGGAGAGAAATGGCTTTGTGGTGGTAGGTGTGCTGGAGCCCTAGGGGAGAAGGGACACCTACCTGAGAAGTGGGGGGCAGGGAGCGCTGGAGGGTGGACCGGTGAGCAGCTTTCCTGACCAAACGTAGTGGGGCTGGTGGAGGTGCTGTATTGGGGGGCGGGGGGTGGAAGGGGAGGCAAGGAGTGAGCTGGAGCACAGGAGGGCATGTCCCTGGGAAGAGCAATGGAGAGAAAGAAATATAGCCAGACAGGGAGAACGAGACAGAAAGGGAACGAGACTGACACCAGGAGAAAGACTGGAATAGCGGAGGGTTCTTCAGGTCACCGATGGGCCTCAGCAGGGGTGGAAAGTGGCCCAGGACTGGAAGAGCAAGGGGTGCTAGATGGGAGGCATCAGGGGCTTTGGCAGAGCCTGAGGGGAGGTCCAGGGTTGGGACAGCTTGCAGGGCTGAGGCACTGGCAGAGCTCTGGGTGGAGGCCCTGGATTGACAGCGTAGGGGATGATGCAGAGCAGGGAGGGGCATTGGCAGGGTGGTGTGGGGTCTAGGGACTGCAAGAGCTGCCGGGCGGGACTGAAGGATCAGAAAGGTTGACAGACGCTTCCTCTGGGTATTAGGCTCTTGCTTTGCCCTTGGCAAGACATGCAACTTGAGGGGTTTTTATCCAAGGTCAGTGAGGTTGGAGTCCCATTTCTTTTGCTGACTAGGCCTTTACCTCTTAATCTATGCCTAGGTTCGTGGGGCTTCAGCAGAGCTGCATCTGTGTGAAGTGAGTCTAGGGCGGGTCAGGATTGAGAGTCATCAACACAGCGGTGATCAGGAGGGGAGCTCAGAGTGGAGATAGCAGAGGGCTGCAGGTTGGGATGGAGAGGCAACGGCAGAGCTATGGCTATGGCGGGGACCCTAGGCTGGAGGAGCAGGTCAGGACTGAACTGCACTGACAGAGCTTTGATAGAATCATAGAATATAAGGGTTGGAAGGGACCCCAGAAGGTCATCTAGTCCAACCCCCTGCTCGAAGCAGGACCAAATCCCAGTTAAATCATCCCAGCCAGGGCTTTGATAGAAAAATAGATAGATAGCTGAGTGCAGTCTAGTGCTGATAAAAGCAGGGGGGTATTGCAGAAGAGAGCAGGACTGAAGCAGAGTGAATAGGGTGGAAGGACAGAGAGGGATGCAGATAGGCAGTGGAGCTGACCAATAAGTTAGAGAGACTGTGAGGTGATTCCCAGCCGTTCCCTCGTCTCCTCCCATGGCTGGAAGTTGAAGCGAGACAAATTCAGCCTGGGAATAAGGTGCACATTTCTAACAGTGAGAGTAATTAACCATTGGAACAATTTACCAAGGGTCGTGGTGGATTCTTCATCACTGACAATTTTTCAATTAAGATGGGCTGTTTCTCTGAAAGCTCTATGCTGGGAATGATTTGGGGGCTATTCTTTGGCCTGTGCTAGACAGGAGGTCAGACTAGATGATCAAAATGGGTCCCATTGGCCTTGGAACCTATGAGTGTATGAACACACCAGCTGGTTGATGACCTTGTTGCTGAGTCTTTGATTCCTCTGTTTCCTTGGCAGGTCACTCAGTTGGAGCCCTGTTGCTGCCTGCTGGGAGGGAGACTGGGAGTGAAAGATAAACCAGCAGCTGATACCCCAGGACTCCAAGCCCCTCCCTTTCCTCCTGGATCTCCTCCCCACCCCATCCCCCGACATCCCAATCCCACTGGCCTCTCCCAGACTGCAGAAATCACAGCCTTAGAAAGGGCTCATTTCCAGCCTTAGTTTCTCCTGATTGTCCCAGGCACAAGCCACTCAAGGAGTCTATATTGTTGGGCTGATGTTGAGGCCTCCAGGATTTTGACCATCAATGCGGATAACCTATTATCTGGATTTCAAATGCTGTTCCTCTGCTCGGGCACTAAACAGACCTAAATGACTCCAGGAAAAGGCCCTGTGGCTTCTGCTGAATTGGAGCTGGATTTGCTTTGCAACTAAAATATACCTTTGGTTTCAGTGGAGTTAAATTCCTTGGCCTGGCCTCATCTCGGCTTCAGCGAGATGGGCATTCATTCCCAGCAGACAAACGCATGAAAGGGAATGAGGAAGTTTTTTTTCATGGGCTCAAATCATTGTCCCAAGGGTGTTAATGAACTGGAAGAAAAAAATCCCTGATTTTAGTTGCTTTCCTCCCATTTTTGATCACTTGATGGATCAATAGAAGGTGTAGACTGATGGATACAGCTACGTTTCTTTTTGCTCTCCACTTCATACCCTTTAAAGAGTGACGAATGGGCTACTAAAGTGCTGTCCGAGGAGTCAGGACCCTGTCGTTCCTGGCCCACCCTTCATGGTGCATGGTGTGCTAGTGACTGTGGCCCTGGCACTTGATAGACAATGGCTTTAAGGCCCGGGCTTCTCCTGCAGCCAGCATGTAGCCACCTTCAGGCATGAATGACTCCCACTTACTCCTTCTTCTGCCTCCATGCGACATGTTGCTCAAGACCAACTAAAATGGGCACAGGCTGCACTTGGCTGTGGGGAGAGGGGCCCATGTCCCGCTGCTCCTCTGCCATGCTCCTGACTCCTTTCCTGATTGCCATGGCAATGGCCTTCTCTGAGGCCAGTGCTAGCTGTCCCGTCCTCTGCACCTGCCGCAGCCACGTGGTGGATTGCAGTGGGCAGAGGCTCTTCTCGGTGCCCCCTGACCTGCCCCTAGACACCAGGAACCTGAGCCTGGCGCATAACCGCATCACCACTATCCCACCGGGCTACCTCACCTGCTATGCTGAGCTGAGGGTGTTGGACCTAAGGAATAACTCCCTGGCGGAGCTGCCCGCCTGGCTCTTCCTGACTGCCAAGCGGCTGGCCCACCTGGACCTGAGCCACAACAACTTCAGCCATGTGGCTGCTAATATGTTCCAGGAGGCCAACAGCCTGGTGAGGATTGACCTGAGCCACAACCCGTGTCTGCGAAAGTGCACCCCCAGGCTTTCCGGGGGGCTAGCCCAGCTCCGTGACCTGGACCTCAGCCATGGGGGGCTGTCCTTCCTCAGCCTGGAAGCCCTGGAGGATCTCCCGGGTCTGGTGACCCTACAGATCGGGGGCAACCCCTGGGTGTGTGGCTGCACCATGGAGCCACTCCTGAAGTGGCTGAGGAATCGCATCCAGCACTGCACCTCAGGTATGTGGCACAGGATGTGACCTTCTGTGAAGTGAAAGGCCTCTGTCTCCTCCCAGCACCAGCCAGAGGGTCCAAGGCAGCAGGCCCAGATCAAGAGAGGAACCTGTTCAGAGTCCTCTACAGGGGCACAGAATCCAGTCCTGGTGTTCTGCTCCAGGGGACTGCAAACAGAGGCCATTCCAGGAGGCGCTCCCTGGAAGTACAACCCCAGAGTCCATTTCAAGTGGAACTGGATGGGCCCTCCTAGAATAGTACTGTGGAGGCTGCAGGTCAGGATCAAGGCACATTGGCAGAGCTGTGTGTGGAGAGAACCTGGGGCTGAGATGGAAGGAGGCTGTAAGTTGGGACTGAGGGGCATGAATAGAGCTGTGTGTGCGGGACAGTGGGGAGCCCAATGCTGGAATAGCAGGCCGGGATGTGGATTGGGACTGAAGAGCACTGGGATAGCTCTGGAGGGAGCCCAGGCATGGAATAGCAGGGCAGGCTGCAGGACTAGATTGAGAGATGTAGGCAGAGCTCTGTGTGTGTGTGTGTGTGTGTGTGTGTGTCGGGAGACATGGACCAGAATTGCTGAACGGTTACTGGAGGACATAGGGTAGGGGGATTAGGAATAGAATAGAAGAGTGGTTGCTGCAGGGCAGGAGAAGGAGGGTGGGAATGGACTCTGTATGAACCCACTGGCCTTGTAAGGTGTGGCTTTGCCTATCTCTGCCTTTGCAAAGGCAGATCCACAGTCAGCAATGGGAGGCCAGAAATCTGCATTTCCTCCCTGTCCTCCTGCCCTCTTTTGATTCTTGTGTTATTAGTTACTTCCTGCCCTTGTTGCTGATCTGCAGGAGCTGTGGTGGGAGGGGATATTCTTCCCGGAGTTCCCACAGCTGCAGTAGACCCTGGATCCATCTAAACATCCTCTCTCAGGTCTGAGGAACCCCTAGTACTGCTGATCCTCATTGCATCCTCCAGTGAGCCCTTTGATTGAATAACGGCAGTGATTGTCGGGTAGGGCTCTCTCCTGTCCTACGTTTGATAGGATTTCCCCACCTGGAGGACTTCGGGATAATAACACAGTTGATTCTGATGCAACATCATTATCTGGTGACCTTGTCTCATGGAATCATTATGCCATTTGGAGGCTGGTGATGGGAATGCATTGTGCAAAGGGGACATACTGTTGTGACATTGTGGTTCTAGTGAATTTATCTATCCACCATCTGTTTTGCACCTATCTGCCTAGTATCATGGCACCAGGGCTAAAATTGCACCAGGGCCAAAATTATCCCAACACACCCAATAATTTGGAGCATCTCCAATTTTGGGTGCCCAGTTTATTTCCCTGATTTTCAGAGGCAGTGGACACTGCAGCTCTCATGGAATTCAAGCAGAGATGGAGATGGAAAACCAGGCCCCATGTATCTCAAGTTGAGCACCCAAAACCTGGAAGCACCAGAATTGAATGGACACATTGGAGAGTGACTTTATGTGCCATGTCCTGACGTGGTCACCCTTGAGTTGCATCATGATGATGTTGAGCTGGGTTGAGTTCCATGACCTCATGTCACATGGGGGTTTGGCAAGATCTCAGCTTTCAATGCTGCCCCATGGTGATGTTACATTGCAACACAGTGACACAGCCATGACTACTGGTGATGTGCTGTGACATCATGATGGAGGGTTATGACTGGCATTGGGATGCAGTTGTGCTGCATCATGACTATGTTATGAACGTCACCACTGCAACCTCTGACTACCCAGACGACAAGACTGAAATAGGGTCAACATTACCATCCGGAAACTTCAGGCAGGAGAGAAAGCGACTAACAAGGATTATACTTTGTGCCTTTCATTCAAAGATCTCAAAGCCCTTTACAGAAGTATGTGAATATTATTAGACTCCTTTTAGAAACAGTGAAACTGAGACACAAAGAGGTTAAGTGATTTGCCCAAGGTCACACAATGAGTTTGCATCAGAGCTGGGAACAGATGGATATTGGACTTGCTAGAGCCAATGTTACCTGTGTGGAGTAGAGGGATAATTCCTGTGTATAGGGACCTTCTCCTTTTTCTCATCTACCTGTGTCTCATTGCAGATTCCCAGCTGGCCAAGTGCCGTGCCCCACCCGAGGTGGAGGGAACCCCCTTGTTCTCACTGACAGAGGAGAGTTTCAAGGCCTGCCACTTGACCTTGACGTTGGACGATTATCTCTTCATTGCCTTTGTGGGCTTCGTTGTCTCTATTGCCTCCGTGGCCACCAACTTCCTGCTGGGCATCACCGCCAACTGCTGTCACCGCTGGAGCAAGGCCAGCGAGGATGAGGAGATATAGGTGCATGGTCCTGGCCACGGTGCCCTTCCCCCAATGGCTGGGGAGATGCCATTGAGAGCTGGGGCTGCATGGCTGGGGGCTGGCTGGCTGTGCTCAGTGCTGTCACAAGCTGCTCCATCTTCTATCCGCAGCTGCAGACGCCTGGGGAAACCAGCCCATCTCTGCTCCCAGTCCCTTCTGATCCCCCAGCCACTGTGCCCAGCGGGGCAAGGCCTGTGAGGCAAGGAGATCTAGCCGTGCCTTGTACTAGCCCCTTCACACTGCCGGCAGCATTGGAGACAGCCAATGAGCCAAGGGCCAGCGCCACTCGCAACACAGATGGGCTGCCACCACCCAAGTCAGTCGCCAGTTCTCCTCTTCACCATGTCCTGCACACTCACACACAACATCCACCCCCACACATGCATCCCCTTCTGTGCCAGCTCTTGTACCACATCTGCCTACAAACCTAAAACAAGGAGTTGGGTGGGGGAGGGAATATATATGGCAGATGTCAAGTGGATTTGCAACAGCTGGAGCTCTCCAGGGTTGGACAGCTTACAGCTCATCAGTTCTGTGTGTGGCTGTGGGGCCTGTGGCCATGGACACTGTGGTATCCAGGGTTGAGGTACTACTAAGAATCCTGAGGCATGGCATCTCTGAGGGCCAGAGAGGCAGGTTTAACTCCGAGGAATGGCCCCACCACTGAGATGTACCATTGTATGGTTGGAGGAGATGCCAGAACAAGGGTCTGCTGTTTTCTAGTTGGTCCTTGGCTGGATGGCTGTTGGTGTTGAGGGAGATCTGCCCATTCTCGGTTCTCTAGATGAAGTCGAGAAGTCAATAGGTCAGGGAGTTTGAACTTGGTCTGTTGCTCAAGACTAGGGGTCAGGGAAAGGGTGAGTGTACTGGCAAACCTGAGGGGGAAGTGCGAGATGGAGTAACAGGGAGGCTGTAGGTTAGGACTGAAGGGTGTCAGCAGAACTGGTGGGGGAGCCTAAGACTGGGACAGCAAGGGGGCTGTGAGTTGGGATTGAGGCACATTAACAGAACTGTGGATGAGTGGTATCAGCAAAGCTGAGGGCTGTGGGGAGACCAGTGCTGGGACAGCAGAGGGCTGCAGGTCGGGCCCGATGGGCATCACCAGAGCAGTGTGGGAATGGGAAGCCCAGGAATGGAATAGCAGGGGGACTATAGGTCAGGATAGAAGGGGATTTGCAGAGATGTGAGGGAAGCCCACAGCACTGGAATAGCAGGCAGGGTGCAGTTGGGATTAAGGGGTGTTGGCGAGGGGGGTGGGGAAGCTGGGATAGCAGGGGGGTTGCAGGCGAATACTGAGGGCCATTAGCAGGATCTAGGACTGGACTAGAAAGCTATGCCCCAGGGGAGGATTATGGTGCAGTCTCAGGGCTGGAACAGTAGGTGGTGCTGCTGGTCAGGTTATAAAGTGCTATGACAGTGCAAGTGGTGCCCAAAAGGGGCTACTCCGTATTGGTGCTACCCAGGTAGGTCTAGCTGGAGCGCTCTATTTCTTCCCATCGTGGACATTAAAATTGCAGATTGAAAAACAAACATGCTTTTAAAAAGAAAGGGAGAGACCAGCTGCTCTGCCCTAGCAACCGCTCCGCTTAGTCAGTCTGTGTCCACATACCCACTGCTGAGGGATGGGTTGGGGAGCTAATGCCAGATGCTCAAGGTAAGTGGTTATTAGCCTGGCATTACAGATACGGAAACTGAGGTACTGAGCGATTGGCATGACTTTCCTAAGGCCACATGGGCATAGGCGTGGATAGAACCCACAATGCCCAGCTCCTGCCACTCTAACCCCAGCACACACAGCCACTCCCCAATAACTTATCTGAGAACTGGATCAATGCGACCAACAGCATTTGGGAACAATAGCTCATTTTTGGGATGAGCTCCTGCCAGCGTCAGCTGCCACTGGTGAAGTTGGATGTAACTTTTCTTTTGGAAGGATTTAGATGTGCCTCTGGCATTTTGTGGGATGACGCAAATAAAGGACGCTATCGCCAATGTTCCCAGCGGAAGAGCAACCTTCTATAACCATGTCTTAGAGAACTCTCTGTGCTCTGATGTATAGCTAATATATTTTGAGACTTGTATATTTTTTATTTTTGCAGAGAACCAGGACCAAACCCAATGCCAAATGCCACCACAGCTTTCCAGATTATGTCCTTCGATCTCGCCACCACCGGAAAGTAAGGAGGCAAAAAATCTGTCTGTGTGGGACAGATCCCTTTAAGGAGTTGGTTTTTATGTGGCTCGCAGAAATCTCTGCAGCTGATCCAAACAGGGCTAAGAAATGAGAAGCCTTTAATCACAGGGTACATTTACATTCCATTCTCATTCACACATAAACCCGGGCACACACAGACTCCTGTCGTCTAGCTGTCAAGAACTGGAAAGAGCACATAGGTAATGTAGCAGTTTGCTCATCAGAATCATTTGCCCTCCCCTAGCCTTAAGCCCCCTTAATGGATTTCCTACACGTCTTAAAAAGAAATGCACTTCTACTCTGGAAAATGACAATGTGAGAATGACACCTTCTGACTCAGGAGATCTGTCCCCTAGGTGCATCTAATCAGCCAACTTTAGTTGCTACAATAAACTTTGGCTATGCAAAGTCAGTACACAATGGATTCCGCTCCACAAAGGAATTATTAACTTACTTTGGTAATGCAGACACGCCTGGGTGGGTGGGTGGTTGGTAGTGGGGGTCAAATCACAGAACTCTGGATCATCTCCTTCCAGCTCGCTTAGCCACCCCATTTATAGCAGCCCCATCAAACTCTAGTTAGCCTAGTCACCACCAGAGGGGGACAGAGCCCCAAGTTGAGCAGGTATTGCTTATACTTCTCTATGGTTAGATACTTATCTGCCCCTTTTACTGTAGTACCTGAAAACCTCACAATCTTTATCATACTTCACATCATCCCCGTCAGGCTAGGAAGTACTATGGGTGGGAAGCTAAGGCATCAGAAGTTTAAGTGATTTGCCTAACATCAAAGAGGGCTCAACTTGCAGAGGAGGGAATTGAACCCATGTTTAGTAAACCTTGATGGCAGTGGGGGTGGTGCAGACATCATTGAGGGCATAATATGGCCCACAGGATCTTCCCCACTTCCCAGCCATGTGAAGAAGCCAGTCCATGTGGCTTCTGAGGGAAGGGTAGGACCTCCTCGCAGGACTAACAAAGTTTCAGAAGAAGGGGGAATGGGTCCCAAAGAAACAGAAGCCAACAAGTCATGCAGGACAGATGAAAGGTGCAAGGATGAAAGGAGGCTGAGATGGACAATAAAAGAGATCCAGAGGGGGAACATGGAGCAGAGAATCCTGGAGAGCGCCCATTGATCCAAGAAGAGATTGAGGGACCCAGTGGATGAACTCTGGAGTGAGGGCAAGGAAAATGAAAAGACCCCAGCTTGACTCTTAGATCTTAGAGAGGCTGAGCTTACAAAGCTGGCAGTCAGAAGAGCTTATAAACTGAGCATGTGACACAGCCTCACCTTTCCGGAGTAGACCTGCTCCTTGAGTTTCATTTTTTTCTTGTGTGTTCATTGCATTTAGGTACAGTACATTGTGTGTGTGTGTGATTTAATGAGTGCCAAGCTCAGAGAATCAGACCCTGGCTGAGGGAAGGAGCAGCTCCCAGCCCTTTGCATGCCTGCTGCTGTCATTCCCTAGCTGCTGTGTCTGAGGGCTCCTCCAGTCCAAATGCAGAATCAGCTGAACCAGAACACAAAGGATATTTTTTTTCCCCACACCTCTTGAATTCTAAATGGGCCTAGGCTCCAATGCCCGGTGTCAAGGATAGTCTTTGATGTCTTAGCCACATTACAGCACTAGAGAGTCGAGACCCTCACCACTGAGGCAATTGCTGGCATACCTTAGGAACAAATGTGGTGTGTTATTTTTAACAAACCTTTTGCAGCCTAAAAATGGCCTTTGTTTCAAAAAGAAATATTTTTCATCTGTTTATTTCTTATGGTCATTAAACCTGAAAACAAGACAATTTTGATTTCAGGTGTTTTCTTTTTTCCTCCCTCTTTTCCCTCAATTTTTAAGTGGCAAAAATCAAAAAAGGGAGAGAAAAAAACCTGAAAACCCACACACTGAAGAAATGAACATTTTCAACCCCCTAAATTGCTCTACAAATTTTATATATTTTTTTTCAAAATTTTCTATTCTCAAAGAAATCCAATAATAGACATTTTTAAAAAGTTTTTCCTTCTTTTATCCTTTTTGCTTCCTTCTTCCTCTTTTTCAGTGGGAAAAGGAGGAAAAACAAGGGGAAAGTTTTTTGTTTTTTTTAAAGGAGGAAAGAAATCAAAACCAAAAACATTTTTAGAACCAAACACTTTCTACAAAAATGTATCTTATTTCAAAATTTTGCATTGTTCTCAAAAAACCAAGAGTTGAATTTTTATTTTATTTTTCCTTTTTAATCCCTCCCTTTTCCCTCTTTTCCCTCCCACATTTCTTCAGTGGGAAAAGAGCAAAGAAAAGGAGGGAAAACAGGGAGGATGGAGTAAAAAGAAAGGGGAAAAAAAGATTTTCAAAACCAAACATTTTATATTAAAAATTTTGCCAAAAAAAATCGAAACCCATGGAATGAAAATGAAATTGAAAATTTTGAATTCCCCCTCCAAAAATTTGTTGAGCATTTTTCCACCAGCTGTGTTCGGAGGGAACCCTGAGCGAAGTCTACACTACAAAATTTTGCCAGCATAGCAGTGTTGGCTAGGAGTGTGGGAAAAAAAATCACCCCCCTCACTGACATAACTATGCCTTCAGATCCCCCCACCCCACTCCTGTATAGACTCAGCCTGAACCAGCAAGAGAGCTCATTTGCCAGTTTAGCTTATGACATTCAGGGAGGTGGTGTTCCTATGTCGGCACAACCCTTTTTCCTAGCATGTGCCAAGTCTCCACAAGGAAGCTGTGCCAGTATAGCTATACAGAGCCGTTGTACTGTAGACTAGCCCTCTCTTTTGCCAGACCTTCATTGGGCCTCTGCTTGTGATGCGTATGAGGGATCAGCAGAGCAAATCCTCAGAGCTGGGATATCCCAGTCCTGCCACCATCTTGCAGCAGACAATGGGGAAGCTGTGGGCGGAGCTGGAGAAATGAGGCTTTCACAAAAACCACATCCCACATGGTGTTTGAGCTGGACTGGTGTGCTCTGCTTAGCTGGGGCTCTCTTCCTTCTATTTGCCCCTCTCCCAGCAGCTGTCCTTTGCCATGCTAAGTGTCTGTGATTGAGGAGGGGTGGGGGAAAGATGAAAATCTTTCTACAGAGATTTTATAAACGTGAACTTTTGTACCTGTGAGAATTTTTTCATAAATGTATATGAATAATAAAGAGTGAACAGTTTAACTGAGAGGGGGGGTGTGACTGGCAGCTCAGGAGGGAATGAAAGTGGGGGCAGGGGATGGGGGAGACACTGAGAGAGAGAGGCATGTATGTATGGGGGGAAGGGGAGGGAGTGTGTGCATGCAGTCTATTCCCAACTCTGCCCCTCACCTGCTGTGTTCACTTGGCCAAATGACCTGCCTGCTCTGTGCTTCAGTTTCCCCCTCTGTAAAATGGGGATAATACTGACTGCCTTGGTAAACCGCTTTGAGATTTACTGATGAAAAGTGCCATACAAGAGCTAGGGGGTATTTTTGTAAGTATGTGTCTGCTTGATTGTGTGTGAGACAGAGCAAGCGGGAAGGTGGCTGCTACGTGTGTGTATGACTACAGGGTAAATGTGTAGCATTATGGTGCTGGATGGGCAGGCATTCAAGAGAATATGTATGTCCATAAGAAAGTCTGTGTGTGTCTGCCATGTTGGGCTGTGTGCACACATTCAGTGTGCATGTGTGCACGCACATGTGTGTGCACGCGCATGCACAGAACAGGGTGTGTGTCCACTATGGGGGTGTGAGATTTTGTATATAGGTATGAATGCAGGCCCCCTGCAGCTGGACACGTGCACGCCCAGCTGTCTGTGTGACAGGGTGCTCGGGGAAGCCCATGCCGCCATGTGAGGGCCGGACCGGGCGGCGTGCAGCCACGATAGAGGAGTGGCTTTGCCTTACACTGCATGTCCCTTCATGCCCACACGCCCTGCTTGACTGAGGCTCCACCAGGGATGGATAGCAGGAAGGGACAATTCCTTTGCAGCGACAAGGGGGAAAAAAAACAAAGCCTGCAGAAGACATTAAGAGTGTTCTCTGGTCTTTCCTCCTACCAGCACTTCCTGTTATTCCTATGGCAGTGACTCCTGGCCTCAGCTGGTCTGGAGGGAATCAGGCCAAGGAGACAGACACTGGCATGGCAGGGAACTGTGATACATTGGCTCACTGTCATGTCAGCTGCTGACAACCCAACATGGGGCAAAAGCCTCCTCTAGCCCTGCTTCACTCTACCATCCATAGGAATCTGTGGCTGTTCTGGGGCATCGCTTCTGGGTGTGGATATGGGGGAGCGGGAGATAGAAGTCAAAATACAGCAACAATGGGAAAAAGAGGAGGTGAATAGGACTGGTGGGAGACAGACAAATTTGGGGTTCGTTACAACCTCTCCTATGCGGGGTTCCTGGGGAGAGATCATCCATTGGCCTATGTTATGATCACAGCTGAACCTCATTCATTCCCATTTGGACAAGCCGTCATTCTAAAAGGATACTAAGAGAAAATAAGGAGAAACAAACCAAAAGATTTTTGTTTTGTAACACATGTGATTACCCTGTGGAATGCCTTGCCACATGATATTGCATGCAGCAAAGACCTTAGGACAGATATTTATATGGAAACATCCATTGTTATGATAGGCTGAAAATGTACCAGGGATATGAACCCTCATGCTTCAAGACATATCAGTCACTTACTTCCTGAGGCTATGAATAACCATCAACTGGGGTGGGTTACTACAGTAAGGAACTTGCACCTTTCTCTGAGAAAGCTGGCACTGACCACTGGATTCCCAGCTGGAGCTGGTTGGAATATTGATTTCCCATCCAGCAAAAAATATTTTAGTTATTGAGTTTGTTCATCCCCAACTGAGATGAGGAGTCAAAATTCTGATTTTTTTTCTCTCCATGAAATGAAATGCGGGGGGTGGGGGGGAATCATATTTAGTTTGGTTGGGGCTTGGTCCTGCTTTGAGCAGGGGGTTGGACTAGACGACCTCCTGAGGTCCCTTACAACCCTGAGATTCTAGGATTCTATATGGGGTCAATCCAAACATGTCATTTCAATAAATTCAAAACATGTTTAGATATTGCCCATGCTGAATTTTTTGAAATGATTTTTATAGAGAAGTAAACTTCTACACACAAAAATCATTCTGAAAAAAAAAAATGGAAACTTTGCATTCCAAAAAATGGAACTTTCTAAACCCCAATTTCCTTTCCAAAACAAGAAGACATCAAAATTGATACAATTTTGCAAAATAAGGCCACATTGTTGAAATGGCGTTTCCCAAACTGTTTCAGGGGAAATGTTTCAATTAGCTCTATTCGCGGCTAGACAGATGGCTGTTGTGATCCAGCCCTGGAGAGCCAATGGTCACCAGGGATTAGGATTGCCCAGGTCCAGCGGGAGAGCCTAGTGTAGTGGGAAAGTCATAAAAGGCAGCTAGGGGAGGAAGGGCAGGAGGAAGACTGGCTGATTGCTATTTTAAAGTTGTTTTTCCCATTGTGGACTCAACCCAGCTTCCGAACATGAGGTGGTCCAAGGTCACTACAAATATTGTGTTTGGACGTGAAAAAGGTGGGAGGTCAACCAACAGCTGGTAGCTACCTCCTCCTGGAGAAAGAGGATCTTAAAGAGGTACACACACAACCCAGATCCTCCCCAACAGCATGGGGACAGGCAAGGCTGTCATCTTCCACAGGAGACTCCACATCCCCTCCACAGACTCATCCAGTCAGGAGTTCGCTGGCTCTGGACAAGACACATGCTCCACCAGCCGCATTTGTGCCAGTGATGGAAGGGAGCGGCAGACCATCACTGTCACTTGAAATGTGGATTCATCCCACCCCGCAGCCCCTGCTATCCTCAGCTCTGGGCTCCGCCCTCCATATGCACACACAGTTCTATTAATATGCCCCTATAGCGTCATGCAGCCCTCATAGAATCATAGAATATCAGGGTTGGAAGGGACCTCAGGAGGTCATCTAGTCCAACCCCCTGCTCAAAACAGGGTCAATCCCCAATTTTTGGCCCAGATCCCTAAATGGCCCCCTCAAGGATTGAATTCACAACCCTGGGTTTAGCAGGCCAATGCTCAAACCCCTGAGCTATGCCCTCCTACTATTCCATTCTACTGTGCCCACATGCACTGTGCTCTCCTAATGCCCTTCCATGCTCCTGTCTCCTCCCCCAGCTCCATCTTGCCACACAGCAAGACTGCCATTCCACCTCTATCCTTGTGCAGCTGTATCCATGCCCCTCAATCCTGAGCTGCGACACCCTTGCTATTCCAGCCCTGGACATGCTCCCCCTCACACAGACAAACAACACTCATGCACCTCAGTTATGACATTTGCTGAGCTTCCAAACCAGGGCTCCCCCTGGCCACTCAGTGGGATTTACGTTTCAGGATTTCCAAAATGTTCCCCTTCTGCATCAGGCTGAAGACCTTGCAAAATTTTGTCAACCAAGAACAAGAAAAAACTACTCCTCCTCCTCGCATAACCCTAACCTGGACACTTAGATAGAATTTGAACCTTCATCATCCTCTTTCTCCAATAAATATTTAAGTAGCTATGCTTCCACAGGAGAGACACACTGCAGAATCACCTGGGGATTGGGAAACTCATCTTGAATGCACGTGAAGTCCCTGGTTTGAATAAGGCAAAAATATGATCGGACGTCCATGTCTCAGGCGCATGCCCTGCCCACCAGGCCACCTGGGCTGTTCATGTTCACACTCGCTTTCTCTGGTTTTGCCCAGCAATTCCATCCTGGCTCAGAGAACCCTTTCCTGCTGAAAGTCTCACTAAAATTGCAAAACATTTTGGTTTCGGCAAATCAGCATTTTCCCACCAAAAGCAATGTTTCATCAAAATATTCCCAACAAGCTCTTCCTAGAAGCCCTGCCAGTGCCCCTCTGTTCTGATTCACAGTCCTGAGACCCCACACAAGTCTGCTGGTGCCCCTCATGCCTGACCCTCAGCCCCACTGCTGTTCCTGCCCTGACCCCCCACCCCACCCCTCTGCTAATTAACAACCTTAGGAGGAACTGTGGAATAACATTCCTAGCTTTTTCCTGTTGCCTTATCCTGATGTTATTTATCTTTCCTCTTTGTACATGTCACTCGTTTGACTAATCACACCTCAGTAGCACCATCTCCCTGAAGGCTGGCTTCCACATGCTGCAGAAGTTGCCCTACCCCTGTGGAGATATAAAATGGAGGACAAGCAGGTTTTGGAGGTTCCTGCTAAGGGTTGAGGTGAAGACACCTCTGCCAGGCTCTCCTCCCTCTGCTTGGTCCTGTGGGCAGTTGGTGTATCTAGATATTTTAATGGACTGTCGTGAGACCACCTGCAGGGAGCAAAAGGGGCAGTTTGTCCCATGTGACAGGGCCCCACAAACTGAACGGCATTGCAGCCTGGCACACAGGGTCATAGTGCCACTTAGGGTTCATAGACTATCAGGGTTGGAAGGGACCTCAGGAGGTCATCTAGTCCAGCCCCCTGCTCAAAGCAGGACCCATCCCCAACTAAATCATCCCAGCCAGGGCTTTGTCAAGCCTGACCTTAAAAACCTCTAAGGATGGAGATTCCACCACCTCCCTAGGTAACGCATTCCAGTGTTTCACCACCCTCCTAGTGAAAAAGTTTTTCCTAATATCCAGCCTAACCTCCCGCACTGCAACTTGAGACCATCACTCCTCGTTCTGTCATCTGCTACCATTGAGAACAGTCTAGAGCCATCCTCTTTGGAACCCCCTTTCAGGTAGTTGAAAGCAGCTATCAAATCCCCCCTCATTCTTCTCTTCTGCAGACTAAACAATCCCAGTTCTCTCAGCCTCTCCTCATAAGTCATGTGTTCCAGTCCCCTAATCATTTTTGTTGCCCTTCGCTGGACTCTTTCCAATTTTTCCACATCCTTCTTGTAGTGTGGGGCCCAAAACTGGACACAGTACTCCAGATGAGGCCTCACCAATGTCGAATAGAGGGGAACGATCACATCCCTCGATCTGCTGGCAATGCCCCTACTTATACATCCCAAAATGCCATTGGCCTTCTTGGCAACAAGGGCACACTGTTGACTCATATCCAGCTTCTTGTCCACTGTCACCCCTAGGTCCTTTTCTTCAGAACTGCTGCCGAGCCATTCGGTCCCTCGTCTGTAGCGGTGCATGGGATTCTTCCGTCCTAAGAGCAG